TATATATATATATATATATATATATATATATATATATATATATATATGTATGTATATATATAGGCTCTTTGTCCCCAGTTCCTGACACAGAGGTTCTAAAACCTTTGGAATTTTGTGATAGGGGTGAAAGGAGCATCTTTTGTTATTCATAACAAGCTCCTTTCAACAGGCCTGAGTTTATACTAACAAGTGATGGGGGTGGGACTATGGATGCTTCAGCATGGGGGTGATTGCTAGAGTAATCAACCCTGTGATTAGAGAGCTGGATCTTTCAACCCCATTCCCAGAATCTGAGGAAAAAAAGATGATCCCAGAGATTGAGGTCAGTCACTAGTGGCCAAGTATTTAATCAAATAATGCCTATGTAATGGATCTTCCATAAAAACACCTAAATGATGGGTTTGGAGAACTTCTGGATTGATGAACACATTGAGGTGCTGGGAGGGCAGTGTGCTGGAGAGAGCATGGAAGCTCATGTCCTCTCCCCCACCCCTATTATAAAGGGTACTGAGTTGTACCCTTTATAATAAACCAGTGACAGTAAGTAAACTGTTTTCTTGGGTTCTATGAACCATACTAGCAAATCATCAAAATTGAGGAGGGGGTCATTTGTAAAGACCTTATTTCCAAATAAGGTCACATTCTGAGGTTCCAGATGGACATGAATTTTGGGGAGGGGAGACAGTATTCAATCAACTACATAGATATAACACTTTACTATTAATTACAACTGTTGTTACAAAGTTTTATAACATTGACTTACTTATACTTTATATTAATGTAAATCTGCAACATTTCTTTAAAATAAGCTTAGTATTGTTTTTAATGTAGTTGGCTCTCAATAGATTATCAGGTGAATGAGTAGTTTAGTTATGAATTAATCAAGCCCTCTGTTGCCCCCAAATTTTATCCAATACTTCATATAAGGTATAATCCATAGACTGACACTCAGTAATGTCAAGGCATTAAATGCAACAGCAGCGGCAGCCACAAAATGCAGAACAAAACAACTAAAAAACCCATCAAAAGCAAAAAAAAAAAAAAAATCAATCAATCAATCAATCAAGAACTATTTCTTTTTTAAATTCCAGTATACTTAACATACAGTGTTATATTAGTTTCGGGGGTGCAATATAGTGATTCAACAATTCTATGTATTACTCAGTGCTCCTCCTCAAGAATAGTATACTCTTAAACCCCTTCACCTATTTTACCCAGCCCCCCACCCCCCTGTCTTCTGGTAACCATCAGTTTGTTCTCCACAGTTAAAGAATCTGTTTTTTGGTTTGTCTCTTTTTACTTTGTTCATTTGTTGTGGGAGGCCACGGTAAGGCTTGAGACGAGGACCAAACCAGGCCCTGACTTGTGCTTCCTTTAAAGTCTGAATAACCTAACAAAAGGTTTAGGACGGGAAAAGTGGAGTAGCACCGAGAAAGGGTCTGTGCTATGTGTTGTGCACTCGCCCTCGTGACTTCCCACACGCTTGCTAAACAAATGAGAACAATTCGGTTGGGGTCATAAGTTCGTGGCTGGTCCTTGCTGCCCTAGTACAGCTCATAAATTACTTTCAGGTTTGCTGTATCAATACAGAACAATTGTACTGGCATCAGCCATTTGGCGTCACGAGGTCTGCTTATAGTCAATGGTGAAACTTATTATGGGAACTCGTGGTTGTTTAACTAGACACAGGTGTATTGCTTCTCCTATGGTAATATCACTATATATATGGCCTTAATGCTTTGAATAAACTTAGCACTGTTGGACATCCTCCTCAGTGCTCCTCCTGCCCCCATCTCTCTACTTCTCAAGTTCTTTTCTTCATCCTCTTACCCTCACGTTCATGGTTGATTTGTCGCGCCGGCCGCGACAATTTGTTTTCTTAAATTCCACATATGAGTGAAATCATCTGATAGTTGTCTTTTCTCTGACTTATTTTACTTAGCGTTATACTGTCTAGATCCATCCATGTTGTTGCAAATGGCAGGATTTCATTCTTTCTTATGGATGAGTAATATTCCACTGTGTGTGTGTGTGTGTGTGTGTGTGTATGCGTATCTCTCTCTCTATAAATATATATATGTATATATATATATTGTCTACCTACCTATTTCTCTATCATCTATCATCTATCACATTCTTCTTTACCCATTTATCTATTGATGGACACTGGGCTGCTTCCATAAATTGGCTATTATAAATAATGCAGCAATAAACATAGGGGTGCATATATCTTTTCAAATTACTGTTTTTGTATTATTTGAGTAAATCCCCAGGAGTGTAATTACTGTATCATATGGTAGTTATATTTTTAATTTTTTAAAGAACCTCCATACTGTTTCCACAGGGGCTTCACCGGTTTGCATTCCCACTAACAGTGCATGAAAATTCCTTTTTCTCCACACCTTTGCCAACACTTCTTGCTTCTTGTATTTCTTGTGGTTCTTTGCCTTTTTTACTTTAACCATTTTTTTAAAGAGAGGGGGCCTTGGGGAGGAGTTAAGGGAGAGGGAGAAAGAATTTTAAGCAGGCTCCACACCCAGCATGGAGCCTGATGCATGATCTCAACCCCTGAGATCATGACCTCAGCCAAAATCAAGAGTTGGATGCTTAACCAACCAGGCACCACAGCTTCAGCCATTCTGATAGGTATGAGGTGATATCTCACTGTGGTCTTGCATTTCCCTGATGATGAGATGTTGAACACCTTTTCATTGTCTGTTGGCCATCTGTATGTCTTCTTTGGAGAAATGACTGTTCATGTCTTCTCGCCATTTTTAATTGGATTATTTTTTTGGTGTTGAGTTGTATAAGTTCTTTTTATAGTTCAAATACTAACCCTTTATCAGATATGTCATTTGCAAATATCTTCTCCCATTTTGTGTGTTGCCTTTTAGTTTTATTGTTTCCTTCACTGTGCAGAAGCTTTTTATTTTGATGTAGTCCCAATAGTTTATTTTTGTTTTCCTTGCCTGAGGAGGTAAATCTAGAAAAATGCTGCTATGGCCAATGTAAGAAAAATTACTGCCTGTTCTCTCTTCTAGAAGTCTTATGGTTTTAAGTCTCCCATTTAAGTCCTTAATACATTTGGGGTTTATTTTTGTAACTACAGTATGTTTTAAGCAATAGAGCATTCTTGTAGGGCTGTGAAAAAGCCAAATCATATCTCTACATTGAAGGGGTATATTATTTTGAGAGGCTCTTCTGTCTGATTAGTCAAATAAGTGATTATTCCTAATGTAATAACTTAATATTTAGATTTCCAGGCATGGTGCTTTCTTAAAATAGGGCACATCTTCACAATTCTGGCAAAGCCATAACTAATAGACTTTATCATCTGATGAAACAGGCTGGTGAAACTTGCTCTGCATGTTGCAACCGTGGCAATTTCAAGTAAAGTAAGAATCTCTAAAATATAGCTATTAACCTAACCACCAATTAGAAAACCTACACATGAAAGTAGATTTCACCTCATTAGGTGGAACCCTCAATTACTAATTGTAGTGTTAAAATCAAGATAGGTAAGATGGTGAGTGCACTTAAGGAGTGGGGTACTAACCGGGAACTAATGTAAAAAAGGTTAAGAAAGCAACAAGAGAA